ATGTCCCGGTGGGGCAAACCTGCCTTGTCCATTTGATCAAACATCCTTTTAAAAGGCGTTTCCCTGCTGAGCTTGCTTGCCCAAATTGTCTTTGCCAGCTTCCTTGAGTACTAGTCCATAATGTTTTGCTGAATAACAGACGTCAGGCCTCCCAATCAAAAATATCCACAATTTGTCCCTGTAGATCCATTCAGCATGAAATTGCATCAAGAACAAGTCAGTTGGGGTGATCTTGAAGTTATGTGGTTGCTTGATTCAGATTCTGCTAATGGCTTTTCTTGGGAATCCTTACAGTTGCATGTAGAGAGAGCTGCATTGGCACTGCTTTTTAGGAGAAAAATTGGTTTGAATCCCGCAGTGAGAATATTTTTAAACCAGATAAGACCAAATCAAGGAGCTCTATGCTTTTAGTTGCAATATATAGCATGGAGTACTGGCAGATCACTGAATCACACATTGGAGTATTTAACATCGCACTGGCAGGCATCTCTGTATGTTACTGTCTGCTGCTGTGCAAGAGAGAAACAGTTTATAGAAAGATGTTGGACCTGGAAATGTGCTAGGTACACAAAAAGAACCTGTATGTGCCTATTTGCCATATTCTTGTGGCTGTCCCCTCCACAGCCTATCCCACACTTGAAGATCAATCAGTCTTTCAGGGAAGACTTTTTTCATATAGAATTTCAGGGAATCATTTTTCCATAAGATCCTTTCTTTGTGTTATGTTCCCGTTATGTCAACAGTGACAAAACTTTGATCTGTGAGGAAAATAAACCAAGACAACAATCTTCAACTTATAAAACTTCCAGCTCTGGTTGAAGCTGTTGGTAGGTTTAGTAATACACATAAATACTTATAAAAATCACCTTTATGAGAAGGGGATGTTGAACATGTTTATAATTTAACATAAAGAAGTTGTGCAGGCTTATCTATACTGTCTGTTTTCCATCTCCACGCCTGTTGTGGATCATCTAGTCCAGTAGGGTTCGCAGAGTAACCCAAGGATTGTTAGATTTCAACATTTACACAAAATCCTGTCTTTCAAAATGGACCTAAAAACCTCTTGTGGGGTTGATGGTCATTATAAACTACACTCTGTGGATGCAGACTCAGTTCCTGTTGGAAAGAGACTTGTTGGAAAGACTGGAAACTTGGCTTAGGAGGTTGAGATCCTGACATCTGTGCAGGGACAGCAGTGCAAATACTAAACTCGTGTGTGTGCTCGGAATCAGCTTGCATTTCACTCTCACTTTTTTTGTCCCTACCTGCAACTTTTGACTGTCCAAAGTTCAGCATATCCCACTTTTGACATTAGTATGTCTATGTATAAGCTGTTCTGTTTAGCATTATGTGTTTAGTTTTCTCCTTTCCTTCTTTTTTCCTCTCTATTCACAAGAGCCTCCCTAAATATAATGGCATAAATTCAGACATGATGGAAAGGACTTGTACCTAGAGGACAAAAGAAAAATCTGCTGGAAATAAGATTGTGCCTAATTGCAAGAGGGAGGCAAATGGCTGAAGTGCTTTGATATTTCATGAAATTGTTTCTTTTGCACTGTAACTTCTGCTGGAGTGATGGTTGCAGCACTTTGCTATTGTTGCTCTTGCTACTGATGGAAAATAAAATGTAGCATGGAAGTCATAATAGACTTAGGGATTTCTAGTGAATCCTTTGTATTTTTTTTGTCACTGAAATTCTGTTTGTGACACCACTGCGGGGAGGATGTCTTGCTGAGGCTTTTTGTTGGTTTTTGCAATTTTTCCTAAAGAGGTTCAGGACTGGTCTGACTTTTTATGCAGATATGTTTCTGTCATCTTGTATTTTCCATGTATTTGAGTGAATAAATGTGCTTTGCTGTTTGTTTTGGACAGATGTTGGGTCTTTGGATCTTGGAATGTCTTTTTTCTCTGAGTATTAAGAAAGTTTCCGTCCCAGAAACAGTGCTTATGTACTTAAAGTATTATTCTAAAATTGCTGTGAGATTAAGTGGAAATGTCAAAACGGAGGCTGTTAATTTAAGAATCTGTGTTTGGGATTATGGTTTTCCTCCAGATATATTGTGAGGGATATCCACTGAGGAGCGGTCCTTATATTTGACCGTGAATAACTTTTGGTGGAGAGTAGCACATCAAAACACCATGGAGAGGCTGTGAAGGGGGAGGAAGTGACACATGAAATGTAAATTGCATGTGGAAAAGCTGAGGAGATGAGTGGATGGGATGGCAGCTGATTAGAGAGATGCAGCTGTGGTGGTCACTCTGCCCACCAGCACAAGAGTTCTATGTTTCATTTTCTCACACTGCACTTTCTGGCCTCCTTTTTGAGAGTTAAACGTAAAGCTGAGTCCTGCAGACCTTTTTTCTACATATCAGAAAGGACTACTTATACATGAAAGCAACGTGATTAATGTTTTTTCTTAACTACAGAATGCCGGAGATATTCACACCCAGCCCAGCAGAAAGGGTGGAAAGCCAAAAATGTATGGGCTTTGCCTTTGAAATGAAAATATTTCCCTAGCTCTTATAAAGATTTAGAGCTTTAGTTTCTAAGATAGAGCCCCTGTTGTTAATCCCATCTGTACTCCGTGGTATATCTCAAGTGACACACGACTAACATTTGAGGTAAAAATAGGCTCTTTTGCTGAGTGATGGTAAGGAACATCAAGACTTCTGCTGTTAGAAGTTATCACACAGTCATGCTCATTTACACGCTGCTCATGCTGACCTATCTCAGCCAGCAGAAATCTGCAAGTAGGTACGAAGAGACTGGAGGAGAGCAGCTCTTTATGCTGTGCAAAATCAATGCTTAAATATTCCAGGTATATGCAATGTAAAGGTGGCTTTTTACTGTGGTTGGTTTGGGGTTTTTTTAGGACTTCTAGGGTTTTTGTATCATTTTTATTCACTAATGTGAATAAAATCTGTGATTGAAAATGTTGGTAGATCAGCAGCAGGTGGGAGATGCCTCTGCAGAGCACTGTGAGGTTATGTTAGGCAGATTGATGGGGTGGTATTTCAAAGCATGATGCTTTTCCATTCAACATAAGTGAGAGATATGTAGAAATTATTTATGTGGCTTTAAACATCCATTAATTTCCAGTTAGCTTTTACAAATCACTCTTGCGTTTTCTGTGTTCGTCTTGATCTTTTTTTTTTCACCTGCTATGCTAACAAAAGGCTAACTTCAAGTTAAGGTTTCTCAAAGACGTGAAATGCTGTCTTCAGCATCCTGCCTGGCAGTTTGCTGTCATTCTCAGCTTTCAGACCTGTTCCTTACTTCCTTCCCACTTCCTGCCAAAGAATCCAATTGGCCTTGCTGCAGGTCATGTGTGTATTAAATATAACCCGACCCAGAAGGAGCCATTGCCTCCGTAGCCCCATGGCTGGAGCAGGTGGGATTTACAGCACACACATCCACACAAAACAAAAATTACTCCTTTCCACCACAGAGTCTTTATTAGTTCAAAGTGGAGCATAGCTGTGAGGAGAGTGGAGCCAGAGCTGCCATGCTGCAGCCAGTGGTACTTTTCCTTGGAAATGGGTATTACCACTCACATCTGATTTTAACCTGCTGACTACATGGATGCTGAGCTGTTAGCTGTTTACAGGCATGTCTCTTTCCTTTCCCTGTCATAATCCTGCTGGTCAAGGTTCTTTGTAAGATAATTCTGATTCATCCTCTACCTGAAACATTGCACAGAATTAGTATACTCTAGGTGGGAGCAAAAGATGTGAAAGATCTATTTTACTTCACTTGGTGGCAGCTGTGGAGCTTTACTAAAGCAAATAGTTTCATTTAAATTTCTCAGCCTGAGACTGAAGTGCCTGTGTGCTCAGTGAGCAAATTCCTTGTGGAAGATGCTGGCTCAAACCACACCTGATGAGGAGAAATGAGATGAGGCAATGTGAAGCTGTCAGGCTTTGGCTGGGATAAAGTGAATATTTTTCCTAGTAGCTGGTAAAGTGCTGTGTTTGGAATTTAAGATAAGAATAAAGTTGATAACATTCTGATGTTGTAGTTGTTGCAGAGCAGTGCTTACACTAAGTCAGGGCCTTTTGTGCTCTTCAGCCCACCCCACCAGCGAGTGGTTTGGGGGCACAAGAAGCTGGGAGGGGACACAGCTGGGACAGCTGGCCCCAGTGGGCCAAAGGGATAATCCACAGCACATGGCATTATGCTCAGCACACGATGCTGGGGGGAAAGCTGGCCCAGGGCTGCTGCTCAGGAGCTGGCTGGACCCTGGGTGCTGAGCAATTGCACTGTGCATCACTTGGTGTTTATTATTGTTATTGTTGTTGTTATTGCTACTATTTCTTCCTTCCTTTTCTATCCTATTAAGCTATCTTTATCTCAACCTAAAAATTTATTTCCTCCCCCCAGTTCCTTTCCCCATCCTACTGAGGGGGAGTGAGCAAGTGGATGTGTGGTGGTCAGCTGCCTGCTGGGCTAAGCAGTGCCACAGGGCTGTGAGGATTTATTTGTGTTGCCAGCAGAGGAGCTGGGACAGCCCATCAGGAAGCAGTGGATGGGGAGGCAGCCCAGCAGGCACCCTCTGGTGGGAGCAGCCACCTGGCTTGGCACCTTCATCTGGCACCTTCATCTTGCTCCACGTGTGCCGTGGAGCCCACTGGGGAGGACAGGGGCAGCAACAGTGAAATTGCTGCTGCCTCTGCAGGGCTGTGCCTGCCTCCAAACCTGTTAAAGGATCTCACTGGTGCTGCTTGGTAATTGCTCTCTTGGCCCTGTTTTATGCCCATGGTCTGTAAATGATGGTATGTCATGTATAAATTGAATTTACCTTGTAAGGCCTGCAGGACACAGTATGGACACTCCAGCCTCCATGGTAACCTAAAATTCTGATATCATTCTGCAATAGATAATGATCATTGTAAGTACATTTAGAAACATTTGTTTTGAAATGCATGCCTTTTAAAAGAACATCCTTTTTTTTCCCCGTTTCATTTTTTAAAAACAAACCCCATCATCTGCTGGTGAAAAGGCATCGGAGGAAGTGTCAAAATCTCTGCAAGCAATGAAAGAAATTCTGTGTGGGACCACAGACAAAGAGCCACCCACAGAAATCGTGGCCCAGCTGGCACAAGAGCTCTACAACAGTGGCCTTCTAGTGACGCTTATTGCCAACCTGCAGCTGATAGATTTTGAGGTACGTCAGCATCCATAAACTTTTTTCAACTCCTTGGTCTTGGTGTTGTCAGTGACTAGAGCCATATTCTTCTGAAGTGTAAATAACTTCATTGTATTCAAAACTGTTTTCCACAGGCTGAAGAGAGTTGCTGCTCTAGATTGGCTGTTGTCCTGAAAGACACTGGCAGTAAATCTGTGTTTTTAAAATTAAAACAAAACCAATAAAGAAATATTTCCATGTGTATCCAAACAAGATAGGGCATGGTGCTGGAAATACTGTCTAGGACCAACCTTGTAAGCTGCAGGGATGATGTTTGGGATAGTGCTACTAGAGCTACCTGCTGTCTCTGAAGAGTGTCCAATTTAGAGAGGGTTCAGGGACATGGAATAAAAATAATTGGAAGCATGGAGAATTTCACGTGACAAAGACTGAAAGAAAGAAAATAGTTTAGTTGAGAGGAAAGGAATTGAAAAACATGTTAAAAACAGACAGCAGGTCACAAGGTAATTTGGGTGTCCCCCACTTAATTGTTTGGATTAAAAGAATAAAGGCATATAACTTTTTTTCCAGAAATTAGAAAGATTATAGAAAGATAGATTAATAGTGAGATAGAAAAATTAATATGAATGTATATGTATATATATTATTTAATTTCATATATTTAAATAGAAAATTATATATTCTGTGGAACTTCTTGCCAGCTTTGTTGTTAAACCAAAAACCTAGTAAATAATTGCTATGACAACTAAACTTGCTTGTAAGTAAGGAGAAAAGCGTTATAGCAGCAGAGATTGCAGTAATTCAGGATAAATATCAATCCTGTTCATTTACTGTTGACTGGTAGGGATGGGAATAAACTCTGTCACTGTCAGGCCATTGTCATTCCTGTGGTTTGCTCTCAGCTGGGATAGTGCCCCAGGGACTGCTGGTATGAGTTCCATGATTTCTGTGGTTCCTGGGCTGGTGATTCCTCACAAGTGTCCGGCCACCAGCGGGAAATCCCCAGTGCCCAGGAGCCAAACCTCCACTGCTGAGGTCTGGAACAGGAGCAGTACCCAATGTACAGGCAGCTGCTGGAGAGAAAAATCAATTTCTCAAAGAGATCTGATGCTCTCAGAGACACCTTTTGTGGGAGTCATGTGTAGAAGTTATTTTCTTTCCATTTTGTAAATGAATGAAGGGGAGGAAAATGGGTGATTTATGTTTAATTTTTTCCACTCCACCCCTTACCACCAGTAAATCCAGAATCAAGGACCGATTTATTTATTTGTTATTAATTTTTGAAAATGACATGTATCAATTTTTGAATTTTTTTTAGTGGAATTCTCTCACTCTTGCTTGGATCTTAAGTTCAGAAGGGTTTTTTTTAATCCTTTGTCTTCTCTGTGCCTCCTCTGATTACTGTTAAATGTCTAATTACAAAAATACTCAAAACCCAACAACCCAAGCCCTTAAAAAAACCTTTAAGAGAAATGGAGAAGAGGGGAGGAGAAGATACTGTAAGCACAGAAGGGACACTTCTGCATTTTTTTAGTTACACAACAGTCTGTATTGCTTTTGCCAGAAAAAAAATCTGTATCAACATATTGAACATGCAGTCTTTAAAAGCAAGCCCTGGATGAAATACCTAATCTGTTGTTGAATTGCTGTTCTTACAAACAATTCTCGTAATTCTTATGGCAAAATATATTTTTTTATTAATTGCAAAAGCTTTCCAATCATTTAGCCAAGCTGTTATAGATGTTCTTTGGACAAAACACTAGAAACCAAATGTCACTAAACGAGAGGACAGTAAGAGCGTGTGCTGCTTTGTCTTCATGTCTTCCCACTGGCTTTTCCAGTTTATCAACTTTTCTGTTTCCATTTTGTTATATTGGTGGCTACAGCTGGTATCTAAGTTGCTTCATTGCTCTATAACATGTGAGTTAATTTTTTGATCTGTATGTAAGGGTAAAAAGCAAATCATAAACTACTGAAAATCTGATTTCTGAAGGCAATAATGTTACTTTTCTTTGTCCTGACTCCCCCTGTCCTCCTCACCAGCCCTGCTGTCCACTTTGATCCCAGTTTTTCACAGCTGAACTTCCCTTAGAAGATGTATTTTCCAAGACAGAGTAGGGGAGACTTCCATCACACATCCATCACACGTCCATAGAAGACACAGGTTTATTGCTTCTGCCACTCAACAAACAAGAGACAATTTCAGTGATGATATTGTTTTGAAGCATTAAAGTCGGGTTTGGGCAGGAGTCCAGAATCAAGATCAGACTGGCTTTTCAGAAATTTAAAATGTGAAATTTATTTTTGACTTTTAAAGAACTGAGGCAAATGTGCAAACAGCAGAAGTCAACTGAAAATGTAGATGTTACTGTGTGTAAGCCTAAAGGTTCACAAACTGCAAAGCCCCTAAAATAGGCAGTAAACAACTAAAAGCCCAGGACTGGTGATTTTATAATCTTTCCCCTACTTTGCATTGAAACAGGGGCTAAATTATGGTATAGGTATTATACAATTTTTATTTATATCATGCATCCTTGGCAAGGTTTTTTTGTTCTTGTCTAGCCACTTTCTCTTCGTGCCGCCTTATCTTGGCCATATGTATTTCATTATAAGGTAAAATTCAATTGCAGATCCAAGTAAGGAGTGTTTCAAAAGTACTCCTACAATTTTAGTGTATGTCAGGTGGTGAGGGAAATGTGTCATCGTTCTCTTATTTGCCTTCATTCCCTCCTGGAGAGCCCATGGAGATCAACTCTGGCTTTCCCTATCACTGATCTCTAGAAAATTAGCTATAATTGGATACACATATCTAGATATCTAGATATCTGTGTCCATCCCCTCTCTGCTCATGGATATTATGCTGCAATGCACACAGTATTAAGTAACTAATACAAAATTCAGCATAGCAGAGAGGATCACTTAATTTCTGGCCATCTTTACCTCACCCTTTCAACAGCTCTTCTCTGTCGGAATTGTTTTCATCTTGGAGTAACTGCTGAAGCCTGTGGGGATCGCAAGATTCCAGGCACATGATATGGGTGTTGTAAAGACAGGGGAGAATGGGATGACTTTATACAGAATCAGCCTATTTGAAATAATGTCCAAGGGTCAAAAAAAGTGTTGCAGACAAAGGCAGATGGACTGGCCTGCACTGATTTGATTCTCCTGTTTAATTCCCAGAGTCTCCAAGTCTCCAAGCCAGCTGGGCTGGAACAAATAGGAAGGCAGAATATTTTGTGTTCCTCAGCACTGATTTATTTGTAGAGGTGAAACCAGGGAATTTTCCTCCATGTGAAACTCTCTGCTCCTTGGCTTCAAACATTCAATAATTTCTCTGCCAAGGAATGTTTGTCCTCCCAAGACAGATCAATCAGCATGTACAGATTATAAGTGACCTTTTGCTTTAACTTGCCCTGTGCATGGTGACCTGCTGTTGACTCAGTGCCTTGGTTACTGGTGCTTAGTGCATCCATCTCTCACCTCCCTTAGTTCCCATCAATTTGTCTGCTGTGCCAGGGGAGAACGTGGCGGGGGAGGATGTGGATTTCTAATGCCAGATGTATTGGTGAACCCTCTGACTGAACAGAACATGACTTGGAGAGACCTTCTGGAAAGCTGTTTGCACAGGGAAGCATTTGAAGACAGACTGTGATTGTGTAGATAGGTGCACACAGCACAACATCAGGACAGAGAGAAGGACTTTAGTTTTGGTTAAAGTAGAGACACGTACGTGATGCAGCCGTTTTATTGGTAGCAGTTATTTCATTTTCCTTGGTAAATAATGGGCACAGTTTAAATCGAACCCTGATTTTCAGAAATGTAATCACACTTGGAGTTGTTTGCACTTGACTGATAAAAAGCTTTAGCTTTTTAAGTGTAGGCAGTGTGGCAGAGGTTTGGTACCAGCTCTGTTACTCCCATTTGGAGGCTGCGGGAATAACAGCACACACGGCAGCAGCAGGCTTGGCTCAGGCTAGTGGCTTGCTTTTATGGTGCTTTAGTGTTGCTATTTGAAATAGCCAGGGACTTGGGTGGCAGTGTAAGAGGCATGCACATCTTCATTTAGGGAAAAAAAGGTGCAAATGGGAGTGGGGAAGTCGGGAGCCTTCAGGGCCACCGGAAGGAGGAAGCCTTCTTGTGGCATTGGAGAAACAGCAAATATGAGGCAGAGACTGGAGGAAAAAAAGGCTGACCTGTTCTGATTTCAGTTTCATTTGTACTTTAAATCAATGTTATAGTAAATGTTTGTTTTCTCATGTTTTTCTAAGCAAAGATATATTTTGCTTCTTTAACAGGGCAAAAAGGATGTTTCCCAGATATTCAACAACATCTTGAGAAGACAAATTGGCACGCGCAGCCCTACTGTGGAATACATTAGTGCCCATCCACATATCCTGTTCATGCTTCTAAAAGGGTAGGTGCTTTAATTTGAGTTTCATTAAAGAGCATTGCCTGGAACATGCTGGCATTGCAGTTGATCTACTTTCTCACTTTTAGTTTAAAAAAAAAAAAAAATTCAGATTTTGTTCCAGCTTTCTTACTTTATTTTTTTCGTATTGTCTTTCTTTCTATGGAACTCTATACTTTTTAATGGTCAGATTATTTAATTTGTCTGTTATTTCTTCTCCAAACTTCATATTGAAATAATTATGTGCTGGTTGCTTTTGACTGTACCCCATGTGATGTGCACTTCATTTCTCCCCATGAACTCTTGTGTAGCATTGCTGGTGACAGCTCAGGTTCATTTAGACATTTGTGCATTGCAGGAGTGACCAGCAGTGGTGTCTGTAAATAACTGGAGTCAAACTGGAGCACTGAGTGGTAGAACAGAGAGAAGCAAAAATGCATTAAAAGAGTAGTTGTGCCTGTGGGACAGGCTTCTCCAACGCTTGTGGCCACAAGTGAACTCCAACTTTAAATTCTTTCTGTAATTTACCCCACAACTTTCAGCATTAATTTTTTTTTTTGGTCTTTTAAGCGTCAGGACAGTGATGATAATTCTTTCCATCATTATTACAAACAGTTTTTAATTTCCTATGTATATACAATAATTTTCTTCCCTTTTCTCTGTCTTTGCTTTTTCAGTTTTTCACTCATTTTGATCTTGCACACTGAGCATGTATCACTACCATATGTCTGGGATTTATTTAAAGATAAAAAATATTTTTGGATTATCTCCCAGATTTTCTTTGGCATCTGTAGCAACCAAGAATATTAAGATGATAGTAAAGTTTTTATGCATATATGCTTAAAATGACAGACATTTTACAGTAAGTGACCTGAGCTGGTGGATTAATTTAAATATCATCACTAAGATGCTTTTTTTGAGAACCTTGCTGCATGCAGGAGTGTGTCTGTGGTCCTTGGGCTCCTTGTTCATCATGTCTTGGCTAGTCATCTGCAGCTCAGAATTGCCATTTCTGGAATGTCTTGTTAAAAAGTGCAGTTGAATCCATCAGTAGAAGCCCAGAGTCAGTCCTGCCCAGCCTGAGCAGCTGCTGCAGAACAGTGCAATGATGTCAGACACGATGATGCCTTCCCTGCCTGTGTCCTGCTGCTGGGACTGTCTGAAAATGAGACCTAAAATCTGTGCCTGCAGCCAGGGCAGGGCCCTGAACACACAGATTGCTGCATGCCCACAGTGTTGGGGGTGTGTGTGCAGTCAGCTGCAGGACTGGGAAGCAAGCACCTCATATTAGACACCACCATGTGAAAATGTGACTTGAGGATATGTTTTCTTATTTATTTAATGCTGAATGAATTATATTATTTATACTATATAGATATATATTTATATAATGCTATAGCAAATATAGGAAATTAAACTCTGCTAAAGGAAAGTGAGTTTGGCTGACTTGTGCCATTCTGTGTTTGTTACATGACATCATGACATTACCTGGAGAGAAAAAAAAATCACCTTTACCATGACTATAAAAGAAATGGCCCAAGACTATTGTGACTGTGATACTTCCATTGGATGCAAAATTTCCTCTGGCCCGTGTCAGTCCCCAAAAGAAAAAGGTTCCTTTTTTGTGGCTTAATGTGAGCTCTGTTGGGTGGGAAGGATCTTCAATCAGAGCTCCCGCCCAGCATTTCCTGTCTCATACTCCAGTGGAACTGCCAACTTGAGATAACAGTTCCTACCTTTTAGGCTTCATTTTACTTGTTGACTGCTTCCTTCCAGCTTCTCAGCTTCAGAAAACACACAGCACATAGTTCACTTTTTAAAAAATTTTCTTTCACTTGTGTAGGTTATTTGACTTTGCTGCTGCACGAGGACTTGCTTTAATAGCATCTTCTTTTCTGTGTGCAGGCTTTGTGTGTAGGATTTCAGATGAGTACAGTATTTGGTGTACATAGAGAACCAGTTGTATTTGGGCCAATTTTTTTGCTCTGGTGTCAGCCTATTGCATTAGCCCAGAAATAACTTTGTCCTTTGTAATTTAAAATATTTTCCCTCTAGGACAGTGACTGTTGAGGACAGTTTATGGCACTTGCATTGTTTCTCTCAAGTGACAAATTTAGAAGCTTCTTTATGAATATATATCTATATATCTATATATCTATATATCTATATATCTATATCTCATGCCACATGCTATCTCTACCCTAGACACTGCCCCAGCCTGTGTTGTGATGCCCTCTTCACATCACAGCTCAGTTAAAGCTTTAATGGTATATTGGCTGAGGCTGTAGAATTCCCCTTGAGTTTATCCAAGGATGAACTCAGGCTATACAAGTAATGTAGTCAGAGCAGAATACATCTGTTTAAGACCTTGTGTCTCCCAGGCTTGATGCCTTCCAAATCTCCTGCCTGTGCTCCTCACCTTGTACCGTCTTCTGCAGTAACCATGGAAGAATGATTCCCTTTACACAGAAATGCATTTCTGCTCTCAGTCTTGCCTCTTTCAAACTTCACAATAAGTGTTTTGAAATACTTCAAGTCCATTGTTTAATTTTCTAGTTCTCTCCAGTATTCACTGTGTGGGGGTTTCTTTAGGTTGTAAGTTCATCCAAACAGAAAAGAACTCAGTAATTTTTTCTGCTGTGGAAATACATCAGCATAGAGCACTAATTGCTCATTAGAAGTGATTTTGAATTACATTTCTGTCATTCCTGCCTGGTGGATTTGCATGCAAGTGTGGGTGCGAAGGACATGCTAGCTATGACTGGGCAGCCTGTAAACTTCTTCCAGGCTTATTCCAGGCACCAAACCCAACTTCCTTTGCTTGTGTGAACAGCCAAAGGTCCATAACCCACTTCCAGATAATGGAGCATTTGACTAAGAACGATTCTGTTGATACTTGATGTTTTTAAAAGTTATTGTGCTGGAAACAATGTAATTTGCTTTTATTCCAACCAAAATATTCATTAGCCAACTATTAAATATTTTCTTGGCTGCACTCCTAGGAGCAGCTCTGCCTCATTTTCCTTAAAAATTAGTATTCCTGTTAATGGACCTGATGCCTCAATGGGAAACATCAGTGAATTTCTGCTGTTTGAAGAGTTAGAAATTCAAGTTTGCAAATGCTTCCCCAAACCAAAACAAATAGAGGCTTGAGTGCATTTCCTTGAGGGTGGGAAGCTTCATTTGCCTGTTTGGAATAGCAATCCATTTTCATTAAGCCAACTATTGTTGACAGCAGGTTGAAGTATGCAGCTCTGGTATGCTTGCAGAACACAACTGTTCTTTTAAACTGCATGCTGGGGGTAAATTTGAGGGCCCACTCACTTACAGCACAGATGGCATTTTGTGTTTTTCTTCCTTTTTTTTAAAAAAAAAAAAGTATTTCTTTTGGCCTAGTGATAGGAATTAATTGTGCAAAGGAAAAACGATGCTGATAATCTCTGGGTGATAATACACAGTTCTGATATAGTATAACCAGTTTATTGAAACAGAGAGTGCTTTCTGTCCCCTTGGACTTCACCACTTTCATGTGATTTCTGGCAGACTGCTGGAAAAAATGAATTTTAAATCCTACTTGACTGTTGGATTTCATCCTTTTTGTTTTTAATGTGTTTCTAACAGTTTTGTTTCAGATTAATTTCAGCTTTAAAAAAATCAAGACTTAATAGAAATTGAAGATGATCTGAATTTCCTCCCCCCTCCCTCCCTTCCTTCCTCTCCAAGGGTGAGACGTGTGCTGGCTCCTGGCTATTGCAGTGCCTCATGTGCCATAACGGGATTGTAACTTGAGGAATGGGTGCTTGTGTCCTAGCACAGCCAGAGCCTCTGCAGAAGAGGCATTGAGCAGGACTCCTCCTAAACTGAAGAAAAAAAAATAAATTTCAGAGCTACAGAAATCTTAATCCTGTGCAGACTGCCTGGAGAGACTCTTCCTACCTTCCTCATTAATACTCCAGAGTGATGTCCTCTAGAAGAGGAGTGGGAGGTGATGGATGGTCATGAGGTGTTGCAGTTTTCTTGGATAAACTGAGGAGCTCAGAATTAACTCTGAAAAGGGAGGTTATTATATTGTACAGGCTGTGCTTTCTCACAAATCCAAAAGGGTGAAGGATTTCTGTTGAAATGTTGCACACTCCCCACGGTCTTTTCACAGAGAGGGGGTGTAGTGCAAATTTACACCGAAATGTGTTTTGGCTTGGGAAGAAGGAGGTTTGCAATGAAAAATTCTGGCAGCCTTGTCTGTGTCTGCTCCTGAGCTTTGGGATGAGGTCCTGCAGCTGGGTACAGCACTGGCTGGGAGCTGCCCTCAGTGTGTGGTGTCCCTCCTGGCAGGTGTTCCCTGTGCGACAAAGTTCCCTGTTGCTAGAAAGGTGCCCGTTTATCTTCTTTCTTCTATGTTTTGATGTTTTCTGTTTCTCTTCATTCTCCAGATATGAATCCCCAAATATTGCCTTACGTTGTGGAATCATGCTAAGAGAGTGTATCCGCCATGAACCCTTGGCCAAAATCATACTATTTTCAGAACAGTTCAGAGACTTTTTTAAATATGTGGAAATGTCAACATTTGATATTGCTTCTGATGCCTTTGCTACATTCAAGGTAAATTATTCAGTACATGCATTTTGTGTCAAAAGCAGCACTCCATCAGAAGCCATCACTGAGCGCTGTGTTGCTTTGAACTGGGTGGCTTTTTTATTGTTCAGTAAAGGATATAATTAATTAAACCTTGGTCTGATTGTAGCAGGATTCACAACAGCAATCAACTCTGCCAAGAATCTTTAGAGAAATGTAAATCTGTATTTAATTCACACTCTTCACCTTGATAACTCACAGTCTTTTATGCTACCATTAAACACTCAAATTAATCATGTATTACCTACAGTTCTTGTAAAATGCATAACCTTTTTCTCTCCCTACCTTCCCCACGACAAACCCACTGCTCATCATGACCATAGGAGTGAATAGAAGGCATCATTTAAAACTAGCATATGAAATAATTGTAATTCTTGCTGTCCCTTCTCAGCTCAGCAGTCAAGTATAGATTAATGCCAAGCCTGCTGATTGTTTTACAGTGTATTCAGAGTCTTATTTTTGTGAGCCATGGTTCAGTGTAAGGACTGTAGTGCTAAAAGCTAAGTAAGTGGAAGCACTGCATAGGCTCTGTAGAGTGTAGAGTAGAGTGTTCTGGGTAGAGTTTGTGTTGTATTAAAAATGAGGCTGGGTGAAGATGCCAAATTTCTTGTAGTTTGTACGTGACCATCATCCTTCCCACCAGCTGCTGGTATAGTCTCTGAGTAAAAAAAAAAAACAAAATAAATTCGATGCCTGTGAACTTCACATACAGGGAAGATTAATTTATTTCTGAAAAAATAGTTTAAGAAAGCTGAGGGAAAATCTTTTTAGTTAAAGACTGTTCTAAATATAGATACAACTCCTTTTTTTCTTCTGTCACTGAGCTCCCTGCTGTCATAGAAACATATTGTTTATTCTTTCCTTTCAAAGCTAATTAGAAACATGATTAGATAGACCTCAGGAGTAATTGTAAGGAATGTTAGAGCTCAGCTCAGTGATTCTACATACACTGAAGCCTGGCATTTTACTGGTGTTTACTAACCTACTGAATGGGATAAAGATTTGCATAATGGAGATAACATTGCATTCTTCAGTAATGACTTGAGCAGGATTAGCAATTCAAATCACCCCTTAATCAACTGCAGCATCTTTCCCTTATTGTAAGTTTCACTGTTGTGATGTCCATTAGGTAAAGGTTATGAAATTCAAAGTAGCACAGAAACACAGACAAGGCATAAAAATGCAACGTAACTGAGGTATTTAAATCTTCTGTTTCTGGCATTTTACCCTTTTGTTTCTGGTCAGAAAAAGTGCTTCTGGACTCAGTTCCCAGCTTGACAGAAGAGAATTTCATCTTCTCCCCAGGTCCTGCTTAAGCAGGACAGCAGTGTGTTGGTGGTGATGGACAGTCTTCAGCCCAGCCAGGAGGCAGGATGGGGATAAGGGTTAATTAAGCTGTGGCAGGGACTGTAGACTGCTACAACCTTCCCAAAAAGAAGAGAGATTGATGTTGTTAATAGATCTACAGCTGTAGAATGTACTTCTGTCCCCTGTGAACTGAGTGTATTTTTAGCAGGATTTAAAAATAGGATTCTACAACCTCACATGCACTGGAAAGAGAGGAGTATGAGGGCAGTTCATCCTCAGACAAAGGACAGACTTCACCTTTTAAAATGCTTGGGGGAAATGTATGAACACCATTTTTAGGTCTTTTTGAAATTGCCTCAGCACCTGATACATGGTCAGTTCTGGAAAGAAACCAGCTGCTCATTTCATCTCCTGTTTGTCTGCTACTCTGAGCAGCTGGAACAGCAAGAGGTGATGTGGAAGTGACTGAAATATGGAGCTGCCTCATTTCTAATACTGGGAAAATAAGTCCTGTGACTGTTTGCTGGCTGGATTACTGAGTTCATGTTTTCATTTCTGGGGTCCCCATGTTGGGTTTGCAGTTGCCACCAGGGTGTCTGGTTCAGAGCTGAAAGCCTTGGGTAGTCCATGCACCAGAGGAGGGCTTAATTAAATGTGTTTTAAAGTCTGAGGATATTTATAGTAGGGAAGCAGTGGAATTATGATCTGAAGATGCACTTCTTAATTAAAGTTATCCAGGTGCACTGCAGAGAGGAAACAGAGCTGTTAAAAATGCAGAGGAAAAGGGCTTGTATTTCAAGGTATAAGCTGCCTGTGGAGGGTTCAAGCAGCAGTTGGGATGTGCTGGCTGAATGCTGCTCCATCCTTCCTCGTCATTTCCCATTAAAAACTCATTTTGGATTATATTTCATTTGTGCCCCCTATTGAAGGACTTGTACTTGCCTCCAAGTGCCCTGCATAAAAGCTCCTGAATCATGTGTTTCACTCAGCCTTTAAAAGTGCTGTCACTGCAGTCCTGCTAAATTAAGGGATGTGTTTAAAGCAGGCACTGGATTTTGTAGTGCTCTGCTTTCCTCTTATAATTGATGGTAAAAATAAATTAAAGGATTAGTATGTAAAGGATTTCTTTTATTTGTGAGGATGCGTCTGTGCATCTGCTTGAGCTCCTCATCAGCTTCAGCCTCTGCCAGGGTAGGGAAACCAAGAAAAATATTATAAAAAAGAGCAGAAAAATACCAACTTGAATGGACTTCATCAGGCATTTATTGTGATCAGTGTTGTATTTTAAAAGAAGCAGTAAGATAAAAATCATACTTAAATGCCTCACACTGGCCACTCATTTCATAGCTATTCATCCAGTAAAAAGACAGTTTCTCCTGGAGCTGAACATTTGCATAGCTGTCACTGAGCACCAGCATCACCATTCTGTGGGAGAGGTTCTTTTAATTTAAATTTGAATTAGTTAGCCTTCTGGAATGGGAGTCCGTCTGTCCAGCTGTCTGGAAGGTCTGCTGCTGCTTTGCGTCAGAAAGTCAACCCTGGGCAGAAAAAGCTCTACAGAAGAGACTCATCCCACTTACCTGAGACTCCTTCCAGGGAAGGGAGTGGAGGTGGAGGGAGCCTGGATGGCTTAGCTTAAGTTGGTGCCTAGCTTTCACTGTTAAATAGCTATATGTATATACCGTGGTTGAATTTTCCTTGTATTCTTGGAGATGAGCAATAGCAGTTCAGGCTTACCATCATCCCCAGCTCTGGGGGAGCACGTAGGTCACTTTTGGCTTGGAGACCAGAGCTCATCCTCCATAAAGGGTTAATTTTCTTTCTTCCTTTTGCCCATCCCTGTTTAATGTGAGTACTGTGCACTATGACCTATCAACAACAAGAAAAGGTGGGAGGCAAACAGCAATAAAGAGTATTAGAATAAGTCTGTCTTGATTCTGTTAGCATTACATTAACTGAGTTCTCCCCTAAAAGTCCTACTAACCACTTAATGAATGCAGTGCTGTCTATAGAAATCATCTTGTAAATGCTTTCTGGTCAAAACTGCTGAAACACATTTGAGAATCCAGGGACAATCACAGGCACTTGCTCTCTCAGGTAACCTTTCTCTGTTCTTCCCCAGGACCTGCTAACGCGACACAAATTGTTGGTGGCAGAATTTCTGGAACAAAATTATGATGTAGTAAGTATCAACGCTGAAAGGCTTTTTAAAAAATCTGTTTATGCTTGGCTGGAAAAAAAAAGCACAGGGAGTTTCGTGCTCTGCATAAACTCCTCACACAGAACTGCAAAACCAAACCCTGCTTTGGAGCAGAACCCACAGCTGGCATGTGAGATGCAGATACCCCCTCTGCACACAGCTGGGGACACAGCCAAGCTCTCAGGAGAACTCAGAGGTTAAGAGCAAGTTTTATTCCTTTCTGTGTGCATCAGATCTCCTCAAGTGTGAATGGAACTGAAACTTTGCACGCAAACAGATCGTGGGAGAAAACCTGTGCATGGTTTTAAACAGTTTTGTGATACTCCAACACTGACAGGGCCATACTGGAGTTATTTACTCTACTTTGGGACAGAAGAGAAGAGTTACTGAAACAAGTTTTAGCATTACTGGAAATTACATGCACCTGAATGAGGGACAGAGCTCTGAGTATTCCTATTACCTTCCTAAGGCAATTAGTCCCTTGGTTAGCTGCTATTTTTCACTTTGACTTTTTGGCTCCCTTTTGAACCAAATATGGGTCAGAAAAATTCCATTGGATTGAACTCAAATTGGATTGGTACAGATCACGGAATTAGACTGTGGGTCATGTTTTTGTGTTACCTAAGGTATTCTTTATTTCACTGCCAAAATGAAAAGACAAATTTCTTTCATTCTGATTACCATGAAGATTAGAAAAAGAGCAGGCTTATTATTGCTGAGTCACTAATGCAGCTTAGCTGGAGCAAAATAAGTGTCTCTGCTAATCTTTTCCCTTAATACTAGAGCACTGTACTGGAACAGTCCCCATTCTACATTTATCTGACGTTTTACATTTTTGAGTATCAATTGCCTAAGCAAGTTTTTTTTTGGGGGTTTTTTTGTGTTTTTTTTTTTTTTTTTTTTTTTGTTTTGTTTTGTTTTTGTTTTTGTTTTTTTGGTGACTATTGGACAGCAGTGTTGATTTTTCCTGCTTGTTTCTTGTTTGGTAGATAGTCTGAACATTCTGCAGCCTTATCTCTCAGTCTTCCTGACCACAAGATCCCCTTGATCCATCCCTGCAAAATCCAGCACACACTTTGCTCCTAGTGACCCTTGCTGGGCAAAGAACTTTAGCAAGTGACAGTGCTGAAGGCAGGCAAGGTGGCACCTCACAAAAGGAGCATTTGGGATGCCCCCTCACCATTTTGGGGTGTTGTACTCAGTCACACAGCCTGGCATGACCACGATATGAGTGAGTGGACGTTATGTGCTGGACCCACATGTCCTGGCAGCAGAGTCACCCTTCTGTAAGAGAAGGCTGTCCAGGCACTGGCTTACTTCTGTCCCAGTTGGCTCACACCAGCCCCTGTTCCATCCAGTCCATATGTGGTATTCCCCCTCTGCAGCACTTGGAAGAGGAGGGTTCCTGGGCATTAGTTAATTCACTGTGTGATGACCAGCCAAGAGAAGAGGCCACAAGAGCTGGGCCTGGCATTGCAGTGGAGTATTAGAGGGTGGCACTGCTGCAGCCTCTGGGGTGAGAAGGACTAAGAGAAGGAAGGCTGGACATGAATCTAATGCATTTGTTTTTTCTTGTTATTCTAGATCTTTGAGGACTATGAAAAACTCCTTCATTCTGAGAATTATGTAACAAAGAGACAATCTTTGAAGGTAAAATCTCTCAGCACTTTCCTCCTAAATTTTTACTCTGTGTTATGCAGACTATCAAGGTGCATGTAGGGCAATGGAGCAGCCATTTTTCTATCAACAGAAGAACTAAGGGCTTGTGATGCTCTTCCTGAAAAGCACAGGAGCTCACTGTATCTTCTCTCCTGGGTCTCTGGGCCATTTCTATGGAATGAGTGCTGTCACTTCTCCTCTGAGCTCGGATCTGTGCTTTGGTTCAGGACATGGGCTACAATGAGCTTGGCAGTAAGGTGGCAGTCTCTGTCTGGGGCACCAAGTGTGGCATGGCCTGCACATGGAAGCAGAGGAGGGTGTGAATGTAACATGGCAATGAAATGAGCTTGTCTTTGTCTACGCTTGCTTTTGTCCCAGCTACTCACACCAGCCCCTATTACACCCAGCCCATATGCAGGATCCCCCTCTGCAGTATTTAGAAGATGAGCACATGATTTTTCTGATTTTGCTTACAGCTTCTGGGTGAACTGATTCTGGACCGACACAACTTCGCCATCATGACGAAATACATCAGCAAACCAGAAAACCTGAAGCTGATGATGAACTTGCTGCGAGATAAAAGCCCCAACATTCAGTTTGAAGCATTCCATGTGTTCAAGGTGAGCCAGTATGACTTGTAGATGTGGCAGACTTTCTCTTCTCATAAAAATATCTTTCAAGGTAGACAAGAGGAAGTCCAGAAAATTAAGGCAAAGGTTGAGGTTTACAGTCACTTGCAGTATTTGAGTGTCATAATTGAAAAGGCCTTTCAGGTGAGACCTAAAGCAGCATCATTTTGGTTTGAGCTGGGGGTAGTCAGTCAAGTAGCCATAAGCTAGAGGTAACAAAATACACAACTTCTAGGTAGCATCCAGGGGACCTTCTTCCTACTTCTGGATCATTTTACCATGTGATTCTACGTAAAGACAAGAAAAAGTTCTTAAAACTCTACCTTAGATTAAAAGCAGGTGGTGCTGGTGCTGGGCATCAGTGCAAGCAAAATATGCTTTTAAAGGTATTAAAATGGTTTGGTAAATTTGAGCTTGAAATTAATACTATCCTTCCATCATTTGGCAGTGACATTAAGGCAGTGTTAAACAATTACCTGACACAACCAGTGTCCCTTTTTTCATGATGATCAATGTTAACAAGTTAGAAGTTTACCATTTTCCTATCAAAAGAGTTCTCTGCTCTGGAACAGAGGGTGAGTCAGATTGTTATGCAAAACTAACTCCAATTTGGAATGAACATGTTAATTTCAAGCTATAAATAGAGTTGTTAATGATTATCAGAAAAGGAATTTTGGGCCTCTAAGGATATCCCTTCCCTATGGGGAAGGGCTAAGAAAGTTGGCTAAGAAAGATACCAGATAACACCAAATGACTGTGGAAAGAGGTTACAACACCCTCCACAAATTCAGGGTGACTTGTTACACAAATTCAGGGTGACTTGTTAAATTTAGTACTTTTGCCATTTTTGATTTGGGAAAAAAGCTTTCAGATCTTCAGTGTGGAGACTTAGAGAATATTCAGCTTCTCCAAAAAGCTTTTACTTTTGTAAAAAAAAAAAAAAAAAAAAAAGCTTCAGGGAGGATTTCAAGAAAATTCCTTTCGTGAAATAAGCAGCTTGGTAAGCTGTTCCCTTGCTGACTTCCTCCAGTCAACTGAACCACTGTGAGTAACTTGTACTCCTCCTCCTTATCAGGAGGTGTGTGGCTCCAAGATAAGCAAGCAGTCTGGCTCCAGGCACTTGTAGCCTTTGAGATGCCAGTGGAGAGAAGGTATCAGGGGATTGGGGTTTCTTAGACACTCTGTGAAAAAATACAAGATTTTTATTTATGAAAGACATGAGTTGCTGTTCCTGAATTAATGATAGACATGGACCAGGCCTTGGGAATGGCTGATTTCACTTATTTTAGGTGACATTCAAAAGGACTTGGAATGATGTAAAAGGATTCCAGTATGCAACAATGTCACACATTGCTGTTCCTCCCATTTTGCCTTCCTATTCCTCTCTTCCAGTATGTTGCATCCTATTTCCAGTTAGAGTGGGGATATTGCAGGCTCATCCTTGCTTGACCACTTGCAGTTGCTGGCATATGGACATAAAGCTTGGACCTTGGAGTGCCAGCAGAACAAACCATGAGCAACAGCAGTGTTGTGTCTCTTCAGTTCAAAGGGCCAGACTCTGTCCTCAGACACCTCCATGGGATGTTGTTGGTGTTTTCCAGTGCTGCCAGTCAGCAGCATTTCAGCAGGGCCAAGGCATTCCCATGGCATTCCTCACACTGCCTCACATGCACAGAGCTCGTGGTGGGGGAGCTGCAGACTCAGAGCAGAGCCTGATCAGCTGGAAATTGCTGGTTCACAACCTCCAGCAGCACACTACAGAGTAACTGTAGAGGCGCAGCAGCTCCCACAACACCCTTTCAGGATCCTCCTCACTGAGGATCTGGGCTGCCTGGATGTAGCAGCATCCAACTCCTCCCTAGGGGAAAGGGTTGTTACCGGGTTTGTTACAGGAAATTGCATTGTGAATTAGCTTTGTAGAGAGGGTCAGAGAAGCTCTTTTCCCTCTGATTTCACTTCTTAAATTGAGTTCTAACTTCTTGAGAACTACTGAAATCCTTATGTATTTAAAGATTGGCTTTGTCTCTAAGTTTGTTTGTGCCCAGTTCTGCAGCGTCCCTGCCTCCTGTTTCTGGGTTTGTGTCCCTCAGCCCAGTTCTCTTGTCAGCTCTAATATTCCATGTTAATGTGACTGGGAGAGGAATCTTGTCCTCAGCTTCTAATTTCATAAATTTTGAACTGTGCCTGCATTTTTAAATTATGCTTGCAAAATACCTATGCAGTCCTGGCTGAAATTACAGTAGACTAACCACAGTGATTTGGAATCAAAGGTCTGCTAAGAAGTGGATACTTGCTGCTCTGTCTGAGCTGCCAAAAGATTTGGGTTTAAATTACCTGATTTAGATGTTTCACCAGTTAGACACAGTTGAAATGAAAAAGTGTTTGTTTTGTAAGCATCCAGATTCCAATGCTCCTGTGCCCTAGTTGACCCAAAAAAAGGCTTGTGACTCTTACTGCCTGAGGAAATTTCTAATTATTGAAGATTTGAAACTGTGAGATAGAGATTAAAGTGATGAGCACTTCTAGTGCAAACTTATTTTGGAGGAACACTTTGTGGTTGAAAATGCCAATACCCCCAGGCTCTGGAATATTTAATTCATCCAATTTACTGTGGGTGGGAAAATGAAGACAGAGTGTTCACTTGCTGTGCCTTTTTCTATTCTCCACTTAGGTGATGGTTGATCTTCCTCATAACTCCAGTCTCTTCTCTTTTTTTTTGCCTGAAAAAAATGGACCTTCTGCATTGCAGCACCATCCTAAAGGTCTGCAGCTGCTTTCTAAAACTGGATGTCCCAGGCAACGTACGCATAAGGATTACCAGTATTTAATAATGAGGAAAAGCTAACAGACCTCACCCCTTCCCTCCTCCTTCATAAATAAATCCAAGGGGATCACTTAGAGTGGTAGGCTTTGAGAGTCACCAGTTCTTCTCTGCAGTGATTTCAGTGGAGAGACGTCAGTTTTGAGTGCACACACTTTGGGGATCAAATGTTGGGAAGGGCTCTCCAGCGCCTGTGGTGGGTTTGTGATGTGTTCCATTAGTGGAGCCTACTTTGAGTTCACCTGTCTGTAGGGGAGGCTGTATCTTTCAGACATATGGTGCAGGGATTCTTCTAACCTCACCCAGTCAAAAACAAATGATAGGAACAGCTCTCTTGGATTTCACATACACAGTTTGCTAATTTTGAGGAAAACACCCTGTAGCAGTGAGCTGGGATTATGCGACTTTCTTGCTCTTAAGGGGACATTTAGCAAGACGTATTTTACTGTTTAAATCTAAAAATAGAATGGGTACACAGTGTTTTGTGACCTCAGTTTCATTTTTCCATTCTCTTTCCTGCACATTATGAGCTACCTCCTGCAGCTTGCTCTGCAAACGGCCTCACATAATTTGACCATACTGACAGTTTGCTCTTGGTACGAAGCTGAGGCCGTGTTTGTGGGGATGTGTCCTCTCTGTTTCTCACTGGATAATCTAAAGGACAAGGATTATTATGTGAAGCATTGTGCTATAAGCAGCATGAACCGTGTGTGTTCTGTGTGTGCAGTGTCCTGACAGTGACATTGTGCATGACCCCAGAGCAAGTCCTAAAATACTCAGTCCAGGGCATCCTATAATTGCTCTTGCTCTGCTCTTGCGCCAGAAGGTGGTAATGCCTGGTTATTAATTGTAAGGAAATAAGGTCAAAATCTCTAATCAAGTTATTTTAATGTTTGTTTGAAGAAATACATAAAGACTTTTAATGGAGAAGATAACAACTATTGCACTTTGGACAACTTTTGAAGCTTTGGAGTTGATTTTCATTCCAGGTCTTTCACAAATACTCGTGAAATGGAGCTTTTTCTGTTTTAGATAGCTATATTTAGAGTTGGAATTTTAAATGGGTACTGTCTTTATTTTGGGTCTCCATCTCTCTTATCTATCTGAATTTAGTACTCTAGAACATATATCTTTTCATAATAAAACCACAGGTGAAACCAAGTTCTCTGTGGTTTGATCCAACTTCATTTTAGTTGAAATGTTCCAGAATGCATTAATAATGTTTCTGGTTTTAGGGACTGATCTCCTACTCTGTGCCAACACAGAGTTCTGAATGAGTGGGACCCTTTCTAACATAGTCTTGTGGTGGTCCTACCCCTGGGCTCTGTGAAACTGGTCAGTTGATACTGACAGAATTGATTTTGTTTGCTTAGCCAAAGTGTTGAATAACATTTCAGGAATTTTCTGGTCCTTGAACATTCTCTCTTTACGAGTCCCTGTTGACACTGAGCAAGACTGGCAGTTGAGATGATCTTTGTTTGAATGTTCACTTTGCCAGTTTTGCAAGGGGAAGATTGTAATCTATAAATAGTTGAGCAGGAAGATAAACAGGATGTGATGGCTTCTATGAAACGAAGTTCTTTATTATTTGCTATGGTAATACCAGTGGTAGGTCCAATGTGAAATGCTATTTACTAGGCTTACCACCAACCTTCCAGTTCCGTTTGCAGAGCAGAGAGCTTTTACAACAAGAATTATTTAGATTTCTTCATATTGAGAGTCACCCTTCAGATAAATATTAGGGAGGCCTAATATTCATTAAAGGAAGATGTTCAGCACTTCAAGGTCAGGCCTTCTTTGATGGTTTCCATTTGCATTGTTATCAGATGATTTCTGAACATGGAGGTCTTACCAGTGTATTTGATGGCTTCTCCTCATCACCAAGGGTGACCTGAACTCCAAAACAAAAATTTCTTATGAAGACCTGTAAATCCCCACCTGTAGGCTTACATCCTGCTTTTCCCCATGCCAGCTCTTCCAGATGACTGGGGGCTTATCATAGTCCAAATCCTGGAAGTATCCAGCTTCCATCAGCATGATCACCTGCTGTAGGTCAGCACACAGGGAGCTGCATCCTGGGGCTCCAGCTGAGAGCATGAAGTGCTGCAGCCTCATCCAGAGCCACATGTCCATACTCAGGAGATCTCAATATTCATGTAGATAAAGCACAGACTGGAAAGCTGTAAAGCACGTCCATATTTACATCCCCAAACCCTTTTTCTCCCAGTCTAAGGGGAACCAATGCATCAACAGCAGTGTATCAAAGTTATTTGCAAAGGAGGAGATGCTGCTTTCAGATGCTGCAGCTGCTGAGAGCGCCTCAGGTGTAGTGAGAGCTGGGAACTGGCCATCCCACCCACAGGCAGCTGTGTCCCTGGTACGAGGCTGCCCTGTGAGTACTTCGGGCATCGTGCAGGAAAGGGGCTGCTCAAAAGGGATCCTTGGGGGCTGTCAGTGCTGCACTTGAGAATTTTTCAGTGGCAAGTGGGAATAAAAAGGAACCATTTAAGAAAATAGCTCAGGGTAATTAGAGAAGGGCAAGGTGGAGGCCTGTGTGAATAACTGTAGGTAGTGTATTGTCACTGGGGCCATGGCCTGGACATCAGATCAAGGAAAACTTTGTAATACACTTGGGGACTGTTCCCCCAGCATGGCAGAAGTTGCAGCTCTTTCTGCACAGCAGAGGGCAAAGTACCTTGCAGCAGGGGCTTTTAGGAGAAGCCTGAGGAGGAGGGATCCAGAGGAGACAAAAGCATAGACAGAGATTAAGACTATTCTAGCATCAGGATGCCAGGGTTTAAGAGTAGATGCTCTGTCTCACCTTTGTGAAATGAAAAATTGAAGATTCCTGTTTGGGCAGAAGTGCTTAGTGGGGTACTATTGGTGTGTATTGAACTCCATTCCTTCCACATGTTCCCCTGATGTGGCATTTGCCCCACCACTTGTGTAACATCCTCTGATTTTGGAGTATGAAGCCTAATGGTGGGTGCAATCTGAACCCTGCCCCAGCCTTTACCAGGTGTTGTCTTAGGGACAAGAGGCTGTAACACAGTCCCCCAGGACAGCGTGCACGATTCTCAGCAGGTAGCACAGCTCCTCCCTGAGCAGCTGGATGTGGCCCAGGTTTTCCTGTGGGCACAACCTCAGGGGAGGCAGAAGGACCTGCAGAAGAGCCCCAGCTCGGGAGCCAGCGGTGGTGCTGCCCGTGCTCGGCAGGACAACATGCCATTCTGTACTGTCAGCAGATGTTTGTTTTCATTCTGGTTTGGACAGCCTTGGAGGGAAACTGGACGCTTTCCAGTTCTGTCCATCCTTAATTTCTTCTCATCGGGTAGAGAATAACTGGAGTTATTTCTGTCGTTGCACAAGCACTCAGGCGCTGTTTGTTGACCAGCCATGGTAACCCTGGTGTGAGCCAGATGTGGGAGCTGCTCCTGGGGTGGTCAGGGTGAGCTGCACGTGTGTTCCCAATGTGAGTCCCTGCCCCATCTGCCCCTCCTGGGCGACATCCCAGAAAAGAGAGTCCCATCTCTGTGGCATCCCGAGGTCCCTGAAGGAGCCTTTCACCGCTGGCCTTTGCAACCAGTCTTAGGTTTGCACTTAACCCAGAGAAAATGTTAAAGAAATAGCATTGTGGCATGAGGGGTCATGTTCAGAGCTGGAAAAGTGCAGCTTTAACAATGACAGGAGGAAAAATCAGAGCATTGAAGAAGGCCAGTAAGCCCACAGTGCTGGGCTGGCTGTGCCAGGTGAGTATCTGTGTCTCACATCACCTTCCTGCATTGTCACCCTCCTCTGGTCAGCAAGGGCTGCAAAGGTGCTGGGCACACCACAATCCTCCTGCTCCTGCTGCTGTTTCCATGCTCCCATGAATGGATTAGGCAGAGGGAAGTGAGGCCTCTGACATATTTTTCCAAACCAAAACAAAGCTGGCAAGTCTTATTTTAGGCCTGGTTAAAACGGAAATGATATCAATACTGACACAAAGCTTTTCTGTTCTCCTGATAATTGATTTCTGTGTATTTGTCTTGTGGGTGGGAAGAGGCTGAGAATTGATAGCTCCCTCCTAACAGCTGGATTTACAGTCAAAAGTTTTTATCACCAAAGAGCAAAGTGAAAGGGAAGCGATACCCCATGCGGGCATAGTTTTGGTTCAGTTTGCTGTCGAACCAATGTGTTTGAACTCCTGTCAGACTGCCTTGGGACAAGGTGTGTAGCAGTAGAGTACCTGCCTGCCAGCCTTGTTAGAAAGTAACTTATGGGGATGTTGTGACTGATGCTCCTCTATCTCTCTCTCTCTCTCTCTCTCTCAATCTGTCCCCACCCCCTTGCTCTCTCTCTGTGCCTGATTTTGTTTGCATGTTAGGTTTTTGTGGCCAGTCCAAACAAAACACAGCCTATTGTGGAGATCCTGTTGAAAAACCAACCCAAGCTAATTGAGTTTCTGAGCAATTTCCAGAAAGAAAGGACGGACGACGAACAATTCACTGATGAGAAGAACTACCTGATTAAGCAAATCCGAGACTTGAAAAAGCCAACGGCATGAAGAACACCTCTTGTTTTCCACTGTAGGCATTAATCTCAGTTGTTGAATTCCTCTGTGTCCCTTAAACACCACAATAGTGCTTGAGAAGGCACAGCAAGTGCCTGGTTTTTATTTTGTCTTTGTTCCTAGATGTCAAGAGTATAGGGGTTTTACATGAGAACTAAAAAACCAAAAATCTAGAATAATATATTATTTTTAATCAAGATTATAATTATTTATGTCAGTTTAGAATCTCTGTAATAGAAGCTGGTTTGACAGATTTTTTTTGTGCTCAAGAAGAATGAACCTCTTTGCTTAACTTTATCAGCAAACTCAAGCACTGGCAAGTGCACAGAGCAGGTCTTCTGAGGACTGTGACATTGTTCCTTCACACCTGTAGTTGTGACTTTGTTCTAGTGCTGCACACACACAAGACTGTGAAAGAGTACATTGGTCTCTGGAGTTAGCTGCACTTATAGGTCAGGTTCTTCAGTCAAAACTATGGAAGACGAAAAAGCAGTAAAGGTCACGTTTTTGCTTCATTTTGTATTCTTTCATCTTTTTTTTCCCGCCTAGATCAGACGTTTTCTATTCAGTGCTGGGAAACGGATGGATATATCAGCCATCTGAGCTGTTTCTGCCTAAGTCCCATTTCCCTGTGTGTGCTCTATGTTGTGCTAGAGCACAGGCTTTTCCTACCAGCTCCCAGCAGTGTCATGAGGAGCAGCCCCATGGACACAGTGCTTACATGCCCCGTAATGGGAAGAGGCAAGGGCAATGCCCCTCCATCAAAGGCCATGCTGTATTGCTGATAAAGTGATCTGACACCTACAGAAACCATCCATGGTCAAGAATATTGGGTGCTTGCCAGAGCTACTTGGCTGAATTGTGACAAGGGATGAGCCCCAGCACCAGAGTGAGAGGAGGGTCCTTAGTGTCTTTCCATATGAATTCCAATCCTGGCTATGCAAGGCGGGGTTGAGCTAAGTTCAGCAAGGAAATCATGAAAAGGCCTCAGCCAGATCTGCTGTGTGGGCTGAGGTCCCTGAGGCTGCAGGTGCTGCCACAGCTGACAGCATTTACTGGATACTGAGCTCAGGAAGCCACTGAGCAGCAGCAGGCACCAAAGGCCACCTGTAGTTTGGCATTTTCTGCCCTTGTTCATCCTGACCTGAATTCAGGTTCTGTGTTTAAGTTGTGGAAGAGGAGGTTGTTGCACCTTTAGTGTTTTGAGTTTAATAAGCTCTATGGTACAGACAGTGTTTCCCTGGTGTGTTTGAAGAGTTTTTGGGGTCTTTTGTTTTCTAACAGGAAAATGTTATTCTGATGCTTTAGTAGGAAGTGTAGTTTGAGAGCAGGGAGTGGAAATTTCTTGAATTTTTCTGGACAGCCTAAGTTCTGAGTTTTCCTATTTGCTGTAAGAAAGTTCTCTAGCTAAAAGTCTATCTAATGCTTCAGGTAACAGGTGACACTGAATTGTAAAAACAGAACAAGCCCTTTTCTTTCATTAAACTGTTGTATATTGAGATGACTGATACTTTAACTTATGTGCTTTAGAAAAGGGAAGAAACAGAACCGATTGTGGTCTCGTTTTTTTTTTTCAGATGCCAGATACACACAACAAATGTACATCTTAGTAGCCTGAAATTTAAAAAAAATTATTTACAAGTTATTAAAGGCATGATTACTGATCACTCTTTACTTCTGTCTCTGGGGTTTTGTCTCTCTTGCCTTTCTGGATAGCCAGATTCCATACAGTGCTAAATTCCTTCTCTCCTTTGCCAGCTTGTTTCAGCAGATGGAGAGAAATGAGCACTGCCTTCAAAGCCAATGCTCTCTGAAGCATCATGTCTGCAGCCCTGATTGGCAGGGGTCTGGCAACCCCAGCCCCAGCCCAGCCATGAGCCTCACCCCAACCCACGGGTGGTGTTTGCTGGCAGTGGTCACTTGCAGGTCGATAAGGGAGCATCTCTGGAATCGGAGTCCTCAGAGCCAGTCATTTAAGTCTGATCCTCTGAGATTTGGAGCCTGAATCCGAAGGGTGCTTGGCTGTGTTCTGAGCTCCTGGGGTGGGGCTGGTCTCCAGGGCTGGATTAACACAGAGACACATGTCCATTGCCTCAGCCTCTGGAGTCACATGAGAACATTGGGCTTCCAGCCCGTGCTAGGAAAAAGTGTCTCCTGGTGTGTTGCTGGGGAATGCCTGCCCTTGACGAAGTGAGCGTGACCCACACAGAGGTGCCCAGAGAGTCCGTGAGGGGTCACACTGGGAGCGCTTTGTCCGCATGGTCTGCACACAGAGGAGCACTTGAAGAGATCCAAACATGGTGGTAACACGAGGAGCGAGGTTCCACCCTGGTTTCTCCGTGGGCAGAGATGTGTCAGGCCAACAGGGAACAGTGATGGGCCCCAGCCCTGCAGAGGAAGCCTTTTCCAGGGCAAGGAGTCTTTGGACCACATGAGACAGTAAGGGGTAAGGAGGGCTTGTGAAAAAGGGCTCACTGTGTGTGTGTCTGCAACAGGGGGAAGAAGTGGTCTTACAGGTAAAACGACACATGCCAGGCCCTTGCAGCCTGTCTTACCAGAAGCTGGTCCTGCAGTAGATCACACAACATATCTCAAAGTAGAGTCTTCCCCAAGCTCAACTTGCTTAGATCTTTGAAAGCATAAAAAGCATAAAAACTGGTGAAGATGAAATTAAGCACCATAGTAATATTTCACAGCAGGTAGGGACACATCCCTAAGTAAATGAAAATGAGGTCTTTTCTAATGTGACTTTGAAATAATGACAGAACTCCCAATTTCCTTTGGTGAATTCAGTCAAGGTGGTTCTTCTGCCTTAGGGAGTGCTCCCACCAGGAACTCACAATTTATCTGAAATTACTATCTGAGGGAGCTGTGTGATTGCAGGATGTCGTTCATCAGAGTGAAGGCAGGAAAGAAGATTGTAAACTGGAAAGATAAAGAAGCTGGAGGAAGCCTCTCCATTCCATTCTGCACACAGCATTCGGGGGTTTGGATCGCATGAATAAATCTCTGCCAACATACGATGTAGGATGCTGCAATGTCAAACCTTATTTGATACAGCAGAGAGCCAGGAATCTTTGCACCACAAGCTTCTGTCATGGGATTTGGGCAGCTTGTGCTGAAATCAGGAAAATCTGATTAGAAGCAGCCACAGACTCCCCAGAGTGTCCTGGTGTGTACAGCAGCAGGTGTGAACCTGGGAGAGGCCAAGGACTCTGGCCTTCCACAAATGTGGGCGTTAAGACCGCTTGAGCCTCTTAATCTGCATTCTCCAGAGACAAGCCCAGATGAGAAGGAAAGAATGACTTGGGCCTCTGCTGTTATCTAATGATAACAGCACTCATGAGAGGGAGAGGAGATCCAGATCCCATTTGTTCTCTAGCATGTGCTTTGCTTTTGCTTGTGAAATTGGAGCAGGGCTAAGAGAGCCCAGGCCTCTGTCCAAGGGGTGCAGTGGTGTTTGGTCAGTAGAGAAGCTTTCTCGCCGGGCCAACAAATGCTTCATTTCTCTTTCTGAAGCAGAAGGACTTCAACATTTTGGCAGGAAACACCTTCCTGCAGAACATCTTATGCCTGGCAGTGAAAGTTGAGGCAGAGAGGATACAGGTTTTGGTCTCTGTGACATAAAAGGGAATTGTATGTAACTCCCCCACTCCTTGACTAAGTGTTGCATAGAGATGCGGGTTTCCATGGACTAGTATAAGGTGTCCCAGAACCTCCAGTGGGAGTTTCAGCCCCATGGTGAGAGGCAATCCTGTGAGCAAGAGCTGCTGTGCCTGGGGAAGAGAAGGAGCTAAAGTCCCTGTCATCCCAGCACATGCTGAAGGGAAGCCTTGCTTCCAGCAAAGCCTCCAATCCCTCACGGTCTGATGTGTACCACAAGGTACCAGCAGCCCAAGCCAGCTCTGAGCACAGTTGGTGCTGGGCAGGCAACATGGGATCAGGCTAAGGGGAAACCCAAAACAAGATTAGCAGTTTTGGCCATGTAGCTCTGCTCTAAGCCAAGCGTCTCACAGGGCTGTGACTTGGTCCAGCTCCCCCAAGCACCCCAGGGAGAGGCAGGCGGTGAGCCCAACCCTCCTGACTCATGGTCCTGCTCCACACCGCCTGCCTTGAGCTGGCCTCTCTTTCCAGGAATGTGAGAGGAGGAAAAACAATCAAATAACCCACCCCCGTCCTATGGCGTTGGTTGAGAGGGGCTTTCCAAAGCCACGGTAAAAATTACCTTTCCCACCTCAGGCTGTGTGACATGGAGCGGCCGCACGGGGACAGCCTGTGCGGGGGCTGCAGCGCCAGCCATGGCCAGCAGCTCCCCCCACCCGGCTCAGGAATGACGGAGCACTGGGAACAGGGACGGGTGGAGTGCCAGGTCATCCTGTGAGACAGCGGCGTGCCTTGCACCGTCACCACTGCTACAAGAGCCCCGTGGCTGTTTCCATCGCCCTGCGGGGGCGATGTGTTTATTTCTGGCAGCCGCAGGAGGGCTTTGCCGCTGAGCATTGGCCCAGGAAAGGCCCGCGCTGCCCTCGCTGTCTGCGAGACTGCAGAGCCCTGCTGCGGTGCGGCACATCAGGCATGGCCAGGTGTCCCACGCTGTCTCAGCCTCCTCCCTCCCTCGGTGTACCCCAGTTCTGCACGTTGGTAGTGATGCTTACAGGGCCATGGGATAGGATGTGCTTTTCTTCAGAGCCACTCTCTCCACCAAGCACAGATTTGGGAATGAAATTTCCAAATGTCATGGTCCCATGGCCAAAAATGTAACACGTGTATTTTAACTGCCACACTGTGCCAGCAGACACCTCCAGCATGTTGAGCATTGACAAGCTGGACACAACCAGCACCTGCCTATCAAGGTGACAGGCAGGAACAGTTTTTTGGTTGCAGGACAGACACCAGCCCAGCCATGGCATCATAGCGAAGCTCCTCACAGTTAAAGAAAAAAAACCTACCCAAATCCCCAAAGCAGCTCTCCTGGGAAGAGCTACCAGTATGCCAGTGAATAGAGTTATTTCTTCTGAGTGCACGGAGAAGACAGCACCTTGTCTTTGGGACCATGAAGTGCCTTACTCAATGAAGAGGCCCTTTATTTCCAAATTGCTGGGTACGTTGTCTCTACTGGCACTCAGCTTTGGCAATGCCCTTCAACTCCCTTGTAGAACAGCTGGCTTGACAAGCGTTTGGAGTGGGTTTAAAAATACCCTTGTCAAAGCAGAGCCCGCTGCATCTGTTTGTGCAAACATGCAGTCAGGGTTGGCTCTTCGGCACACCCCGGCACAGCCCTGCCCTGGCAGCCAGCAGGGAGCAAACAAACCCAGCCTTTGCTCAGGCAGATGGTCAGATGCCCAACAGGCTCTGTGTGCCTGGAACAAGTGGGAGCCTGCAAGGAGCAGGGCTCTTGAAATCCCATGGGGGAAGTGGAGAAAGGCATCTCTTCCCCATATTAGAGCTGGGTGTGGGGGAAAATTTATATTCACAGATGAACTCGCCTTGTGCCCCAAGGAACGTCAAGGGCAGAGTCACAATTAGCTCATAGCACAGAACAGGTTCTTGCTGTGTGCTGACAGCCTTCCTGTCAAAGACTCAAAGGAAAGTGACACTGGGGACTAGCAGGCAAGAAAGCAGGATGTCCCAGGGGACAGCAGGCATTGCAGAGGGAGGAGAGACATATGTTCATTCCAACCCAGCTCTCCTGCTAATACATACCACTTCTAGCCATGCAGTTAAGCTCCTCTGCTTCCTGCTGGCTTTTGTTTTCTCTAGCTAAATCTGTCTTGCCCCACAATAGGAATGAAAGACTAAGTGAAGGTGAATGCACTGGCATTCACACTATCTTACATACGTCTTTCAGGTAGTTCTGAAATAACACTGGGGAGGAGGAAATGTGTCTGTGCTGGCATTTGTGTGACGTGTCCCAGAGGCCTGGCTCTTGTTGAAGTTATTGTCCAAGTGCTTCATGGTTTCCCCACATTTCTTCAACCCCTTGTTTTTCCTCCAAGTTAGAAATTTACCTGCCCTGGTGGAAAATTTACTGGCAAAGCAGTGAGGTGATCTCACTGGAGCCAAAGTACAGATAGTTGAGCAACGAGGGCAAATAAGGAGGAAAAAGTCAGGCTTAGTTTTTAGTATACCTGTCTTGTGCCACTGAGGAACACAGTGAAGCTGGAACAGACCCCATCCCTCCAACAATGATCCTGTAGTTACGGGAAACCACCCAGTCCTGAGGCAGAGCCTGGCTTCCTGGGAAATCAAAGTGGAAAATTTCCTGTACAAACAGCTGATACTTGGGGTGCAGAATATAAACGTCACACTGCAAAATACCCCAGGGAAAAAACCATGCTCAGCATTTTCATCTGCATGTCTGCTCCCAGCCCAAGCACGGTGAAGCCTGTGCTGCTGCACATCAAGTGAGAAGGCCCTTTATCTACACAGCAGATGTGCCAGCCACGATTTTTCCTCTTCCCATTTATGAGCTTTGAGCTGTCTCAAGTGTTCTGACATTTATAATGACCATCAGCACACCTTTGTCTTCTTCTGTCCGCAGCAGCAGGACTCTCTGGGTACCAGTCACAATCACAGAATCACGGAGTGGTTGGGGTTGGAAGGGACCTCTGGAGACCACCCTGTCCAACCCCTCTGCTAAAGCAGAAACAGGTTGCAGAGAATTGCACCAAGGT